GAACTTTTGCAAAGCTCCAGAGGCTTGTTTAAGAAATGAGTACGGTAAATATGAGGGCCATTTTGTCAGTACAGGCTCATAGATAGTTTCAGATACTGGAGCTTTTTTTTATTACTGTTTAGAATGAGATATAGCACAAAGTGATCAGACAATTTTAAAGCAGCCCTGGTGGTGATGAGATTTACATCTTTTAAAGCTATATAATAAAGGCTGAGTGGGATTTTTATCACTGGTAGAACTCTTTAAAAAATCCACAAGAAAAATGAAAGGGCCTGGATGTTTTTCTTGCAGTATAACTGTTATCCATTTGGTAAGCTGTTTTTAGCTTCTGAGGAGCAGGCCTGGATTGGGATGTAAAAATAAAAACAATCACAATAAACAAGTAGAACTCCCACAGTTAAAGATTTGCACTGTATAAACGATAACTTTGGTTGAGGACTACTTTACTTCTGTGACATAAGTAGTCCTTACCAACCTTTGTCTATAAAGCATATTAATCCTCCTCTCTTTTTCTCAAAGAGTTTTGTGCTGATTCACACAGCTTTGTAATGTAATGGCACAACTTTATGTGGAATTTTACATTGAAATATAAGCTGGAATTGAGGAACGGATCTAGAGGGATTTGAGAGTGACAACAGACTGGTCTGTGATTATGTTTGACATTAAAAAAGTTTTAATAAAACGGACAATTACTTTGACTCACCATAGCACTACAAGTTGTTGTTCTCGTTGAGGGGTATGCTCATTGAGCCAGGTATTGGTGAAACAGGGTATCAGATCTACAGAAGTATGAGTTTTTATGAGAATTAGCAATCTGTCCATTTTGTTTTCTAGTGAAGAGACATTTGTCAGATAGATTGAAGGCAAGGGAGTCTGGAGTCACTGCTGTCACAGCCTAAGAACAATTCTGTCTGTTTACTGTATTTAAGTTGCTGGTAATTCCAATTAAGATTTGCTGGGCATTCAACCAAGATCTCAGTGAAGTTGGGGGAATAAACACTATAGAAAAATAACTAGAGATTGCTGTCTGGTGTTAAGTAGTTCCTCTCAAATGAAGATAACCATAGAATGATGACATAGAGCAGACTAAATTAGCAAAAACACGAGAAGAGAACCAAGTACAGATTACAGTAAATAAACAAGGTTCTTAGTGTAAACAAATAGATATTATTGCTCTTTCATTTCTTTGCTCCGTCACAGGGAAGTCTGTAGAAGATGCCTCACAGTTGTCCCTGCAGCACATGGGTGATCGGGTCCAAGGAGCAGGTGGTGCCATTGTAGTTTCTCCATCAGGGCAGTGGGCTGCTACATTCACCACCAAGCGGATGGCCTGGGCTGCTGCTGAAGATGATGTGCTGTGGTTTGGAATAGACCCAAAAAAGAAGCTGAAAGAGAAACTGTCCCTTTAGAAGATTTTGTTTTTATTATATGTATTTTTTTTATTAGAAAATGAAATGCACCCGTAAAACAGTTTTCTATTTTTTATTGGTGTTTTTTGGTAGATGATTTTTTGTTCCAACTAAAGTGTGTAAAATAAAAAAGTATTTTACAATAGTAATCATTAAAGCAACACTGATTAAGTTTTGACCAAAGTATTTGTTTAATATAAGATTTAACAAATTATTTTTAAGGTCAATGTATGGCATTTGGCATGATCCTTGTGAGCTGCCCTTCACAAAAACTCACCTCTGTAACTTAAGACGGTTGGATCCATATGACACCCACCTTATCAGAGATATTGTTGGTTCTCTGATGTGAGGGGTAAATGTCGACCTGCCTTCACAAGTACCTACATGACTACTCAATCTGCTAGTCGAAAGTGGTCTTCTACAAGAATCCAAAACATGGAGGGAGGCTCTTTAATTTTGCAATATTGCCAGTTTGTTTTTGCTTCTATGTAAGAAATATGAAGGAAAGGTTATGATTAGCCGAGACAACAAGCACTTCTATGGTATTTGCAAAGTTTTGACTTCTTTTTTTATATAAGAAATTGTTTTTTTTTTTAGAAGTGGATCTTTTTTAGAAGTGGATCTATGGAAGATAAACAGTCTTTTTAGAATAAGAGTTTTTTTTTAGACATTGTATTGGTAACATTTCCATATACTCTGTTTCACAGGTGGAACTCTAACTTTGGAACTTCAGAAATTGATGAAGTGTAAAATTTTAAAATGCTTAAAACAATAAATTTGATAGTAATGCTTACTTAACAGACTCTTACTCTTTTTTGCAATGACTTTAAGTGTAGATTTTCTGAACAAAAGGGGTTAATATTGAGAATATGCCAACTGTGGAATAAATCTTCTAAGTTAAAACTAATTTTGTTATAACAGAAAAAAAAAGGTTTGAGGCAGTACTGCAAAGACTAGGGTAAATCTTCATGTGATACGGGGATGACAGGAAGGGCATCTGAAGTAAAAGCATTGCCGATTCTGTGACTACGTTTGACTTATAGCGGTGTCCCCTAACCAATGGTGCAGCCAAGAACATACACAAAACTGGTTCCCTGAATGTCACCTAATGAGTTCAAACCTAATGAACAACAGTGACTCATGTGGGAAGTCAATTGCTGTCAAGCTGCTAGACCTTTTGCTACTGGACCTACATGGAATATATATGTTCCTAAAGGGGGTTTCTCCTTGTGGACTGACATTTTTTAATTGTCTCCACAATTGCTGCATGCATGCTCATTGTGAGGGGTTGCTGAAGAATCCAAGACACAACACAAATGCATATCAGCTGTTCATGCTCATCCAGGAAAGGTCTCCTGTCAATTGCTTGATACAATCAGCTGATATTCCTTAGATAGATCTCATTTGACTGTATGGACTTATTGAAGGATCTCTGTAAAGTGTATTTTTCGTGAATTGACACTATATAGCCTAAATAAATGTAATTGACTTGAAAGAGCCCAAGAAGACCTAGATTATTTGAAAGAAAAACACAAAAAAGGACAGCCTCGTGTTACCTTACAAGCAAGATGAATTGTCGCGAGTTCTGTGAATGCCCAAACTTACATGTAATCCCAAAGAAACTGTGCAAAATTCAAACTGAAGTGCACATATCAATCTGGCTTATGTCAGGTTAAATGTATTGTGGCGGATTTTTGTGAATTTTTAAAACTGCAGAAAGGTGAGCTTTAATGATTGGCTGAAATCGTAGCTCACCATACATATGTATCTGAAGGGACAAGCATAGGACGTTACGTTAAAATATCACCAGAATGATTGACAATTAGGAGGACTAGTTAAAAAAATTATAATGAAAAAGGTAAAATAAATGCCAATGTCTTGCTTTGTTTTTGATTTTTTTTCATTGTGTCAAATGTAACCTTGTAATCTGGTTAATAATACCTTTCCTTTGCATTAGTTTTAAGCTGTTTATTTAAGAGATAATTCATTAGGTATTACTTATTTTTCCTTTCAATTGTTTCTTTAAGTTTTGTCTTTTATGTCTGTCACACCGAGATGTACTGTTTCATTAAATCCAACTTTTAATGCAGAAGAAATAAGCCTGTAGATGTCTGTCATGTCGAGAATGGGCCGCGTCGCTGTCCGTAAACAGAAACCACGTGACCCTCGTGGTCGGAGCCGTTCAGCAGCGGAACGAATGACGGCTCAGGAAGTTGCTGGGTGCAGCTGTGCTAGAATGTAACCTTACACGAGTGGATAACGTTATCGCAGCACGGTAGAGGTGAGAGTCTGCCACATACATACAAACTATTCACAATAACAACCCAAGCGCAGCTCTATGAAACACGCACCTCTAAAGGCATCGTATCAACATTTTTGCTACAAACAAACTTGATAGCAAAGGCCCGTGCTAATGCTAACTAGCTGTCGCCATGTCAGACATTCATCTTAAAGTTAAACAAAAAAAGAAATCCACATAAACGATGCATGCTTTGAATCCGAGTGCGATCTTTAACTCTGTGAATGTTTGAAATAGCGAGTTACAGTGCGTTATATTTTTACACCAAAGTGAAGCATGCTAAAATCCATCATGGCGTTTTAAAGCGGATTGTTGTCCTGCAGTTAGCATGCTAAGCTAACACGTTTTAACTGATTCAGTAAGGCGTTATTTTGATTGCAAGTGAAACAGGTGAGGTTTAGCCTAACTTAGATGGAAAATAAAGCCAGGTGACAGATTTTTGGATAGTTATGTGGTTTTTTAAGTGTTTAAATTTGGCCTGTTTTGGGATTTGTTGAAAATATTGGATACACGTCATCCACTCCTATTCAACACACTTAACGGTAACTAACAGCGATCAAACGGAGGTTGTTTACAATCTTTGTCCCTGTTGATTGGCCACATGTAATCTAATGAATAGCAAGTCCCGGTAGCGAATATTAAAGTTTGCATGGCCTAGTTGTAGTAGTAGTTTTTTTTTTTTTCGTATATGGTTACAGGAGGGTTGTCAGCAAACATTTTCTGATATTGAGCAACTTTATTTGTTAAAGCAATGCAATAGACTTTACTTAAAATCGTGTCTATTTTTGTTGATTAGAAAAATAGTAGCATTTAAAAAAAGTTACCATGCATTAATTACAGTATTTTTTTTAAGTAATATCTTGTTAATTAATCTTTGACATTTGTACTTTCTTATTCATTATAAGTGTGGGGTTATTGACTTGTTGAATTTATTTAGGGAAAAAAAAGTAATGTGATTTGTAGAAACTTTTCTCAATTCAAAACATGATGGATCGTTATGCAGGGTTCCCGCAGATCCTTAAAAAGTCTTAAAAGGCATTAAAATTCTTCAAATTCTTCAAAACCATACATATAAAATCAAGGCCTTAATTGGTATTAAAATGTCTTAAATCAGTCTTTCAAAGGTTTTAAAATGGTTACCACAACATAAATAGGATTTTAGTTTTGTAATCCATATTGAACAATAAAATAATTGACAATATTTTTCGTACATTTACCAGGCTGATTGCTGTAACCATTATTGGTTTCGTCCTGATAGTGAAACTATTACAAAAGATGTTGCGGCCGGATCTTGGGATGATGTGCCAGTAACTTTTTATCTGGACAACATGGGGAATTTTTAAATTCAACGAAAAAAAGGCCATCCATCAAAGAGTTTTCTGCATGGCTAAAACCACTACCAGGGAATGTAGATGAAGCACGATGGGAATCAAGGCAGTGGAGACACATGTTAAAATCATGAAACTCAAAGCGTCAAAATCAAGTTAAGGAGAAGCAGCAGGTGATTCTCTGTTCTGTTCCAACCTTACTCTGCAACTCCTCCACAGCATCTTTCACATCACCAACAGCGCCAGTAGAACTGAATATCAGGAAAATGCTTGGTGGTACGCCACTAATGAATGCAGGGGAACAAAACAAAGTTGGTGAATTCAGTTCATTAGTTGTTAAAAATATATGTTATCTGTTTTTCTTTAGCTTTCTTCCCATATGGAAAGTTTTAAAAAAATGTGAAACATATCTACTTGGCCAGAAAGTAATGGTTTATGTTAAAATAAACATTTGGGGTAAATTTGTCGCTACCAGGTTTTTATTGTGTTTTTTGTCAAGTTGGTCTTAAATTTTTATTTTAAGTGGCATTGAAAAGTCTTGAGTTGAACTTACCTTATGCTGTAGGAACCCTGTTTTGGCTTAAAACATGATACTAATATACGGGCCACCTTTTCATACTGTGTGTTTGTTGTTTTGATCCAGGTAGGCAGCAGCATTCATGGATATTGTGGACACCTTTAACCATTTAATACCCAGTGACCAGTTGGATGAGTCCCTAACGTTGAGTCAGAATCTGGAATGTGATGCAAGTAATGAGTTTGGCACAGGATCCAGACTCGAAGACTCTCTGAAGAACATGCTCAGTGACAAAGACCCCATGTTTGGATGTGCAAGCACTCAATTCAATCTGCTGGAAAATGAAGATCCCACTTTTCACATTGCTGGCTCAGCAGGTAAGTCTAAAAGTTGGATAAAATGATTACATGTAGATTTATGTGTCAGACTCTGAACAGTTCAAATGTTCACCAAGTCTTTGAATCCCTAAAAAAATCCTTAAAGGATTTTACTTAGTAGATCTTTAACCCAGTTTGACCTAAGTTCAAATACTGAAATGTGCTGGAAAACATTGCCATAGTAACCAGCTGTGTGTACTGTTGACCGAGGATTATAAGCAGCTACATTGTATGACCCAATGGCTTTAATTTAAATCAGAAAATCAATACTTACAGTGTGTGCAGCTATAAAACATATAGGTAAATGCTGTCACTAAGTGAAATTTATTTTGAATTTTCTACATAAGCTAAAGATATAATTAGAATAAACAACTGTTAAATTCAATAATATTTGTCAGTAAACTTGCAGAGTATTATTTGGTTTTGCCATTTTGTTCCTGTAAGCTGGATGTCTGCTCAGGTAGCTGTTGGATTGATAGACTTTATTGAACTGACAGTGGAGAAATTTACTTGTTACATCAGCTCAATTGTCTAAAAGAAGAAGGAGGTGCCAAATGGAGAAAAGGTGCATGGGGTATACACAAGGATTACTATAAAGGATTATTGCACAGCACATTAAATTGATATTCATATAAATAGGTATTTATATATAGTTTTTGCACTAGGTTATAAATATAAAACAAGTTATTACACAGGGTATTAAATCATGATTGCACATTAGAAATTGCAAAAGTTATTGCTTAACAGAGCTCCCACTCATACCGTATTCAACTTTATTTGTTGTAAAGAGTTTCTTTAATAAGAACAATTGGTGATCCTTATTTTTCAGAAGGGATTTATTTTTAGCTCTTGTGCAGCCAGCTGCCCAGCAGTGCTACCTATTGTCCAATACAGCTGGAGAAGGCTTAAGTTTGAACCATAGAAACACTAATATACCAATTTCGAGCAGTTTTGAAGCCTCTCTCACATTTGAGTTTTAGTTTACTTAGTCTTTGCATGGGCATAACAAGCAACTAAATTATTTTATTTTTGTTTTTGTAGGTCCACATAGGGATTCAGAACCTGCAGGCCTCTCCGGTGAACTGAATGTTGCAGAGACCTCACAGGATAAACAGATCCCTGGCAAGCAGAAAAAACATCCCAACAATTTAGACTACGGTAAGTGGGCGATCATTCAGTGTTGAATTTTCTATCAGACATAAAGCATAGAAATTTGGAAATGTTTGGCGCCTGTTGGAAAATCTGATTATAACTGTTAGCTAAGCAGCTGTTATCCTGCTAGTATCAGCAACTTTTATTTTTCTATTTGTTACATTTTTATTCACATTGTTTTGTTCATTGTGCATTTACTTAAAATAAAAGCATTACTTGAGATTGACTTTCAATAGTTAAAAGATTCCGTAAAAATTCAAAAAAATTCAAAAAATATCCACTGGACTTGGTTTTCAAGATTTGAAGACGTTTCGCCACCTCTCCAGGAAGCTTTCTCAATTCAAATGTCTGGATCCGCAGTGAGTTTGAGTCTTACATGGACAAGGCCTTGTATTGCTTGGAAACATGCAATGGTAACCGATGAATGGGTCATTTAGTTCCATCGTTAGCCTGTAATATCTGAACCTGTCTATGATTTCTAGGGGTCGGTCGTTAAAGGGGGGATTGCCATTAAGGGGGGGATTGTCTCCTGTAGTACCTGAAACCTGTCTATGATTGTTAAGGGTCGGTCGTTAAGGAGGTATTGTTCACCGGCTGGAGCGGGTAGGTCCCGTGAACAATGTCTGCGGATGTCTGCGGATCCAGACATTTGAATTGAGAAAGCTTCCTGGAGAGGTGGCGAAACGTCTTCAAATCTTGAAAACCAAGTCCAGTGGATATTTTTTGAATTTTTTTGAATTTTTACGGAATGACTATGACCTGGATGACTGAGAACCTTCATCAGCAATAGTTAAAAGACAGTTGCATTGTTAGTGTATTCAAATAGCAGGTAAAGAAAACATTTTTTTTTATTGCTTGTTTTTTAACAGACAATGGAAGTGGTTAAAATCAACAAGTCCCTATTTTTCCCTAATGGCACAAAGTCAAAGATAGGCCACAATCTATCGTATAGATGCATCTCCAATGTTATCAACGTGTTGATTTACAAATGCTGTATCCCTTTAGCACTAATATCATGTACAAGTTTGTGTTATATTGTTTTAATTTCAGTAAAAATGAGTGTTTCTAACAACATCCTTTTAGCAGAGATTTTAAATGTTGGCTGGTTTATTCCAATATTTTTTTTTTTTGGTTGATATCGGACTGAAACTCTATATTGGATCAGGACATCCCTGGATGTCCTAAAATAGTTTTTTTTCCTAGTCATCAGTTATTTAAAGGCTATTTAATATTTAGACATTTGATTAAAAAACAAAAATTGTGATGTTATTGTCACTGTTTTTCTTTTACTTTAGATCATAGAGGTGACCACCAGCCTAGGATGTCTAAGAACACCTTAATCAGAGGACGACCTGGAAGGAGGCACAGCAAATGGCTAACAAAGTCTTTTCTCATAGAGAAAGGAGTTGGAGGTGCGCAGCAGAAAAAAGAGTTGACTGAGGGAGGGCGCATTAACATTAGCGATCTTGATGGTGGATTATGGTTGAATCCCACTGTCATATTGAGACGACTTACTGTCACAATCGGTGGGTTTAAAATTGAGCTGCTTCCAGGACCCTCCTACACCCAAAGCCTTGACACAAGTGAGCCAGCATGCTTTGAGGATAGCTTTACCTACGGTGGCAACATCGATATGGCCATTTTGCCAGATGATGCCGTCTGTATGCAGAATCCAGTACAAGAAACGGCTACACCAGAAAACGTGTCAGAAATCGATGCAACGGCAAAGAGCCTGTCTGATGATGCAAATCTCAGTTTAGGCCCATATGTGAACCCAAATGATGTGCAAACCTCAAACGGAACATTAATGGAAATCACCTCCACGCATGAAGCAAGACAGGAAGAGAAGAAAAGTCCAGTAAAAAAGAAAAGAGCATTCCACAAAGGAAAAGATGGTGTGAAATATCCACTGAGCATTGATAATGACATAGCCGAAGAAGAAAAGACTGATGGTAAGGAAAAGCACCTGACTGCAGCCAAAACACCCCCTAAACCTAAACAAGGCTCAACACTGAACAAGATCAAGGAGTTGGCTTCATCTAAAGCGAGCAACGCAGATAAGGAGCATAAAGTTACCCAAGAAAAGCCTTCCAGAAATATTCCGAGAGAAGACCTGCACAAAACGAAGTCTGTGAAGGACAAACAGGAGGTTTCTCCTTTGAAAAGACACACAGAAAACACGCACAGTGAGCATGCTGCTAAAGTTCAAAAGCTACACAGTGGAGGGGATGATAAAACTAAGCCGAAATTACCAGGTACACCAGGCTCCGCCACAAAGAAGATACCGTTACCTTCTAATCGTGCTGGAGATCACCAGGGACCTACTAAGCAAAACAATCCCCATCATAGCTCAAAGGAGGAGCATCATCACCATCATGCTCACAGTAATCCAGGCAACTCTCTAAAAACTCCAGAGGAGAAAGTTAAAAAGCCTGAAAAGATTCTCCAGAAACAGAAAAGTAGGAATTCAAGGAGCATTTCATTGGAGGAGCCAGAGCTGTTTGTTCCAGATAACGCCCCCCCTGTGAAGAAGGAAACGGTTGAGGAGCCACTTGCTGATAGTGAGACTGTTTGGGATGGAAACAACTGCTGTGGGCTGTGTAAAAAACACCACAATAACATGTAAGTATTGCCCCTCTCTCTCTGGATACATCCACTTCATCTTTAAACACCTTCCTATAATAATGCTGCTTTGTTTAGGTTTATGGTTGGCTGCGGTCGTTGTGACGACTGGTTCCATGGAGACTGCGTTGGTCTCGACCTTGCCAAAGTGCGGGAGATGGAGGAGGAGGACCAGATGTATGTGTGCTTAAAATGCTGTGAGGAGGAAAGTAAGAAGGTGGATCCTGAGCCTTTAGCAGAGCCCAAGCCAGAAGCTCCTGTTGAGCAGGATCACAAGCCGCCTCAAAAACTCCGTCCAGGATCCTCCCAGCCACTAGCCTCAGGCGGCGTCAGACCAGTTAGAAAGGTAACCAGAGGGACATGGGTGGCCACAGTTAAACGCTCACGTTTTTTCTTTCTCTTTCCGAGAGAGATTTATATTTTGTTTCCACAGCTAAATCATCCTCTATTAATCACAGTCAGTGTTACCACTGTAGAAGCTTTTGCTTCAGTTGTGCACATAGGTGTGTGGGAAACACAGTCCACTCACATGTTCGGTTTCTCACATACCATCACAAGCCAGAGCTACTCTTAGCATTTCTGTGTTACTGGGACTTTTCCTACAATATGAAACTTGTTCTCTTAATGAATTGTATAATAAATGGATCTAATCTAATATGTGTACTTATTTTTATGCAGGATGCAGAAAGGAGGCATTCCACGGATGTCAAAGAAGCAGCTCATAAAACAGGTGAAAAGCAGTGAATGTAAAAAAATTGTCTGACTTGTTCTGCTTTTAAAATGATGTGGGCTTGAAGCCAAAGCTGGGTCACATGTTCCATGGTTTAGTGGCCCTGTAAGATGATCTACAGGATGACTTTGTTATATATTTAACATTTTAAATGGGAAAATGTTTTCCTTGACAATTCTTTCAAATCATAGTATACCTTAGAGTTTAACATTTAATTAAATCCCCGCATTGATTATATCAACATTCTCACCACCTAGGTAATCTGTCCAAACACGAAACTAAGAGTAAGGCTCCGTCTTTGACCTCGAAGAAACCCGTGTCAGTGGAGGCCATCAGGCGAAGTGTCCGTGATTCTCTGAAAGAAATCCTCACGCAGAGGTCAGTGTTTTTCCTCTGGGGGGTTTTAAACAGGCTGCAAGGATCATGGAACAGAAGGTTTTTTTTTATTTATTTTCAAAATAGCTTGCTCAAATTAAAACCACAGAGATTTAAGAAGTTAGATATTAGTATGTGCTTGGTCTACCCCATTTTAGGTTACGTTTTTTGTTTTCTGTGTTATTTCATTTGATTTAACTGTTTAATAAAGTGGTATTTCATAATTTATATAGGTAAATATAAATTCCTTTAAGTCTCGATAAAAATGTGATCCCTTTTTCTTTTATTCTTACTTTTTTTATAAGTATACATTGGTGAGATAACTGCTAATTTCTTTTAGTGAAAGAAAACCATATAATCAGCAGTTTGTCCATTTTAGGCTGAAGGATTCAGATCTAAGCATCCCAGAGGAGCGAGCCTCTGAAGTTGCCAAGAAGACTGAGAAAGAGCTGTTTCACCTTTATAAAGACACTGACCATAAATACAAGAACAAATACAGAAGCTTGATGTTTAACCTGAAAGATACAAAAAATAACGTAAGAACCAATTTATGCTAAGCATAATCGAAATTCTTCCCATTTCACCAGTCATGTTCTTGAAGTTGCTTTTCTGTGTTTTCTCTGGCAGGTTCTGTTTAAAAGGGTTCTCAAAGGGGAAATTTCTCCTGGTAACCTGATCCGCATGAGTCCAGAGGAACTGGCTTCAAAAGAGCTGGCTGCCTGGCGACAAAGAGAGAACAGACATGTATGTGATGCTTAACGTTTCCTATTTCTTATTGCACATACTGATTATGCTTTTCTTGTTAACCTTTGAATGCTCTCAGGAGGTGATGTTTACTCTGTTTAGAGAGTTACAAAGTTTGTCTTTTTTTCCCCCAGAAGTGCATCCGAATCTATTTGTTTTTTTTTAGAAAAAAACCTAAATTTTTTTTATTAATTTTCAGACTATTGAGATGATTGAAAAAGAGCAAAGAGAGGTTGAGAGACGACCCATCACTAAGATTACCCACAAAGGTGAAATTGAAATTGAGAGCCAGGAGCCGATGAAAGCACCGGAGCCTGTTGAGGTAAAAGCAAAATTTCAGTGCTTTTTTTCCCTCCTTTTTTTTTTTTTACTTCTTAAAATTTAACATTTAGTTATTTTTGTGCTTTTTTTTTTTTTTTTTTTTTTTTAAAGCTTGAGCCTTTTCCCAAAGTGCTTGAAGAGGTTCTAGAATCTCCCAAAACCCCTGAAAGAAAAGAAGAGAACATCAAGATCGAGAAAGACACTACAAGCCAGCACAAGTCTCACTTATTTGATCTACATTGCAAAATCTGCACCGGTAAGCTCTGAAAATAAGAAAAGATTTTCCTGACTATATGCTCTGTCTTGCAAAGAATCTTACTCTGTATAAGAGTTCCTTCCTTCCGCCTTCATATACTGTGTCTTCTTGCAAAAGGTCGAATGGCGCCCCCAGTGGAAGAAGCCCAAACCAAGGTTGCCAAAGTTGCGACCACAGTGGTGAGGAGGCAGTCTACTAAATCAGATGAGGGAAAGAGCACACCGCCTCATCCAGTCGATGATGACCTTCATCTCATCGTTTTAGAGGAGAGCTTCAGAAATGCCAAATCAGGCTTTGAATCAAGGCGGGGAGCAATTTTTAAAACATATGACCTTTCTGATTAAACACTTAAATGTTTTACTTCACTGTCGCCATCTGCTTTTCTGCTACAGGTCAGATCATGCAGCTGGAAGAGAAGAAGAAGCTGCTTTCCTGTCCACCTTAAGGACCCTGTGGCGAGGATTCATTCATATGCACTCGGTGGCTAAACTTGTGACAAAAGCTTTTCCTGTCTCCGGCGTTTTAGACAACTTATCTGAGGTAGAGTGGATACAGAGAAACCTGTTTTGTCTTGTAGAAAATAAACATCACCTTCAGGTGCAAGTGGAAATTGGACTTCAAGTGCACAGTTATGTGCACTTACTGAGCTTGATGACACTTGGGGAGTGGTGAACTGGAATACAAGAAAACAGAAGTGCTTAGCTTTTCACTGCCACATGAGAGGCTGTTACATGAGTAGCAGCAGCAAGATGACCCAGAAACCTGCAGCTTCCTTACATTATTTGGAAAAAATATATATAATTAGAAAAATAATTTACCAGAAAAAAAGCAATTTGTCTTCTACTTGTTTTTTTTTAAATCTGATTTATTTGTGGGTCTGCACTTTCTTTTTTCTCAATAGGACCTTCCAGACAGTATCCAGGTTGGTGGAAGGATAAGTCCTCAGACGGTGTGGGACTATTTAGAGAAGATTCGGGCAACTGGAACCAAAGTGAGTTTTGAAGATTTTTTAATCTTTAGAATTTAAAAAGGAAAAAAAAGAAACACCTCCGTCCGTCCAAAGGAAATTATACTTTTTTTTTTTTATCCACAAAGAGTTCAATCTATATAGGAGTGTCTTGAATTGAGTTCCTAATTCTAAGTATAGGAAATGTGTAAAAAAAAAAAAAAAAAGGGAAAGAGAAAATGTATAAGAATTGTTTTAAGGGTTTAAAAGGGTTAAGACTTTAGTTTGAAAGCTTTAATTTAAGAAAATTTAAGGACAGCATTAGAAAAATATTTTTGCTTGTTAACCTGGAATGAACAGTCGCACTAGTTTGTTAGAGTAGTCGGTAGGAAACAGGATCTTTGTTCTTTTTAAGGATAAAATTAGACATTTTAAAGTTCCTTGCTGTTCTCTGCAACCTGAATGAAGCCTTACCTTGCTATGTTTTAGGCAGAGAAATGCTCTTTTAAATACCTTCTTCTATCCTTGCTTCTTCAAAATTAATTTAAACACTTCTTTGATGTTAAAAATGACCATCATTCAGCCTTCTTCTATCAGAATATGTGTCTCCACCAAACCATGCTGTTAGTGTGAGCCGGTACACTAAGGTACTGCATTCTTTGATTTTGGAGTGAATCAGATTTCTAGCTGCACCCCTCATTTAAAACTCAAATTATTTAGTGCTTATTGTTGGGTTTGTCATGGCAATATGACTTTGGTCTATTAGATACAGGAATAGTTGCAATAGTTTTTTAATGTTTAAGAAGCTAAGATTATTTTGAACCTCTTTTAAATATGGGCTTGCTTACATTGGATGGCTGACTTAATCATGTTTTCTTTATTAAACCTCTTCAATGTGAAATGTAGCTTTTACTGACACAAGCTTTTTGTTTGATTAAAGGAGGTTTGCCTGGTTCGCTTTTCCCCCGACACAGAAGAAGATGAGATCTCCTATACTCTTCTTTATGCCTACTTCAGCAGCCGTAGGCGTTTTGGGGTTGTGTCCAATAATCTGCGTCAAGTGAAGGATATGTATCTCATTCCCCTTGGCGCAACAGAGAAAGTCCCTCATCAGCTTGTTCCCTTTGATGGGCCAGGTAGCAAGATGCTGAACCTTATTTTTCCTTTATATATATATATTTTTTCCAGTTAATTAAGTCAAATTTCTTAACCTAAATAATTTACTTGACAGGTTTAGAAAGCAACCGCCCCAACCTCCTCCTTGGACTCATCATCCGCCAGAGACCCAAGAGAGATTTTCTTACTGTGGATGTGAATGAATCTGTGAATACTGTCCCAGAAGTTAAGCCCATCACTGTTCCCATGAAAGTGAAAAGAACCACTGAGGAGGAGGAAAAATTGTTCCTGTCTTCTTTGACTGCTCCCCTTAAGAAAGAGATAGAAAAACCCCTCGATACGAATGAAGAAGAGCCTCTTGCAGGTTCCTCTGAAGAACCCGCTGAAACAGAGGAGCCGAGCAACCAGGAGTCACAAAAGCCACTTCGCTTTCTTCCAGGTGTGTTATTAGGATGGGGTGGGGAATTACCTCCTCTGCCAGATGTCGGTGATAAACCTGTGACAACAGGACAAGACACCCCGAAGACCGTTCCTGCTCCCAAAACAGATGCATCAACTGGTGACTCAAAGGGTCCGACAGCTGCCGCTGCTTCTCGCTTTCTCATCAGGAAGAAAGAAACGAAATCTGTTAAAGCTGAACCTGAGCTACCGGGTCCTTCTGAAGCATCTGCTTCTAACAGCTCACTGGGAAAAGATCCTCCTGTTGTGGTCCATCATGCATCAATCACACTGAAAGATAAACCCCCAGATGTATCGACTGAAGCATTCCTGGCGAACATGCCGGCACATCCGAGTGGCACTGAGACCGACGGTTCTGCCTCAGCAAACAAAAGCAGCTCTGGTCCATTGTCTGAATCTGAAAAGGAAACAAGTGAAGGGAATTCTCGGCAGCAGGCAGAATCCCAGGCTACTGCAGATAACGCATTTTTCTCAAAAGCTCCTTTAAGTGGAATACTGAAAAAATCTTCAGCATATTCCTCCGAGAGTGAAGATAAAACAATGGTGCTACAAAAGGATAAAGCCAGCCTTCCTGATGTTTCTGACCCTAAACCAGTTCCAGTGTCAAGCAGTATTAAAAAGGATCCACTTTTACCATTTCATCAAGGTTATTTACAGCTCCCACAGGCCAGGCACAAGCTGGAGGAAACCAATAGTAAATTATTTCCAAAGAAAAAAGATGATCCTGGCTCAGGTCCTCCTGGTGAAACAGTAACTCAAACTACAAATCCTCCTGATGTCAAAGGACCTCAAGATGTTTCAAGCACAGAATCCTCTGAACAGATAGCTGGGAGCTGTAACAACATGGGTGTCACAACTTCTAACACTACGTCCAGCTTGAACACAGACGTCCAGAATGCTAGCACACAGAGATCTGAGGACAGCACCTCAGAGGCCCATCAGCATCCTCACAGCCTCGCCGAGCCAAGCAGTCACGCGTTATCCGTAGCCAGAGACCAGAAACTTCTGAACGAACGCTACACCGACCCGTGGGAGAGGCCGCGAAACACAGACGACAGAGATCGCCATGGGAGGCACGGCACCCACAAGGACTCTTACTACGAGAAAAAGAGCCGACACCTCGAGAGGGAGAAAAGGCACGGGCACAGCGACGACGACAAGTACAGGGAGAGGAGCAGGCCCCACGGACACTTGGACGACCGCCACGGGGAGAGGAGGAAAGAGAAGCACCACAGCAATGATTACAGCAGCCATCACAAGGACAGACACAGGCACAGACGGGACTCTGATTATGAGAATGGACGTAGAAGTTCAAAAGACAGCTACTCGTCATAATATTGCTGTTTTTTAAATCCTTTGAGCTCTTCAGGACTTGTTGATCACATGGCTGGTACATGCCGCTTTTCTACACTGGCTAATTATAGAGTTTTTTTCATTTTATACAAGAGTGAAGTTCCATTTTATGTTATTGAAGGTACAGCCAAATGAGATCGCAACAAATTGTTTTTTTTAAAACTTAGACCAACAAAAGACTGAATACTGGAAACGTTCATACCGAATGATTGTGTCTTAATCTTGTTTGTTACTCCTGTACTATTAGTTTCCCGGTCTCATGCAACAGTGTGGATGCATTGATGAACTAAAGAACTTCACATTTTAGCTTAAATGTATAACACAATATTTAATTAAGATCTAAACAGCAGCTTTGTGCTTTTCTTTCTATTTTAATTTCTTTTAAACTGCTTCAATATTTTATAATCGTTTTTTTTTTTTCATTTGGAAAAGTATGTACATTTGGGCTTGTATGATACATTAGAGATGTGTGCCTTTGCACCGTGTGTTTATGTACAGTTCATAATAAAACTAATCCTTTTCTATTGGGAATAGTTACTTAAGGTCTTATTTTAAAGCAGCCAAATTTGGCAGACCTGAAAACCTTTGATCTTAAATAGGCATGTGCTAGTATGAGACTTTTATAGCATAATATGTAAAAATTTATCTATAGAAGTTTAAAACCAAAATGAATAGCATGGTGTGATTTTTTTTTTTTTTATTAAAATAGCGTGGCCTTAAAAAGAGTTATAGGTGGTCCTCCTTTAGTTTGCACACCATACCTGCCTGGTTTTCATGCCTGGAAATCTGTCCTATAAACTGAATTCATATTTGCTGTGATCAAGGGAAAAGCAGCAGCAGGTGAGGGAGGGGCATTGCTGATTTAGACTTAATAAACCAAGACGAAACTAGAAGGATGTAACCCAAACAGTCCATTCTGAGTTGTATCATCCTTCCCTCCAACACAAATTTATACAGGTTATATCCTCTGTCCTGTCACTTTGGTAGGCTTTGTTGCATTATAACTGCTGGCTAGAAATGCTCTGATAACATAATTATTATCAATATGTGCCAGAACCTTTTGAAGTTCAAACTAGGTATCAGACTTAAACGAGTCTGTTGAAGTTGTTAGTTGCTAAATGGCTTGATCTATTTAGATTTGTACTTTAAATCTTACAGAGGATGCTATGATAAAAAAAAAAAAATCTGGTTATTTGGCAATTGTATAGAAAGAATTAAAGGGGAATAAGCAGGCTGGTTTAAGATTAAAGGTAGACAATAGCTCAAACCATTAAAACCAAGGTATTCAGAGAAATCCATTTCTGGATGGACACCATCTTTCCCAAAAAGAGCAGAAGACCCCTAACCCTGGGGTCTCATTTGTCAAAGATGATGTTCTGTTACGTTGTTCCCAAATATGGTTCATGCAAAAATATATTTCAGATTAATTGAACCATGTGCACGCATAAAAGCAAGCACATTTCCTTGATAGATTGCACCTGTGTGCACAAGTTTGCATTCAAGGCTGCGACCTTTATTGACCACATTCAACCATAAAGGATCCATGCAAAGCACTGCATGAATGATGTGTATTTAAATCAGGCGGCTTATCCCTGTTATTTTATGGTTGCCAATGGAAACTAAGGGGAAGTGAGCAAAAACCCAACAAAAAAAGTTTAACAAAGACTAAAGATGTTTTGATGAGTGAGTTTGGTTGCCATACTAGTGTCATGACAAATAAAAAAAGGAGGTAGGCCTATTATGAATGTCAAAAGCCTTATGGGTGGACTGATTATATTAACAAGGTTGCCATGTCGTCGGGCGGTATTACACTGCTAGCAGTGATATCTATACCGACAAAGTTCTCAAAATTATTTCAAGTTGCTTTAGGCAGAAAGAAATTAATTGTTGATTATAGTTAACACCTGTAAGAGCCGACGAGAACCATGGCGGTTAACAACTGTAATTATTCATTAAAATAAAAAACGTAAATCTGGATAAGCTGCCCACCAGGCCATTTATAAGATTAAATATGAGCAAAGAATGCCTGTAAAATCAGCTGATCAAATTAGATGTTTTCTAACCTCTTAATAGACAGGAGCCTTACCTTGAATCTGTGATGCACTACAGCTGCATCCATTTACTCAAATATGAAATCATTTATTTGTAACTATAATATTTCAATCTACATAATAGCCAATAGTATGTACAATAAATACATGTTTACACAAAGAGAGCAATTATTTCAGGTAGACTACTTTTTCAGAATGTATTTTATTAGTGTTTTGAGCTCAGTCTAAACAATATTCTACAAAACGATGTCAAATCTTCAATAAATATTGCAAACTCAATAAAAACTAGAACTACAGCACTTCAAACAAACATTTAGTTGATTTTTTTTTTCTATTTTTAGGAGTTCAGAAATTATGGTTTTACTATCATTCAGTGCCTTCAAAAATATTGAAACCTTCACTGTTTTTAAATAAAACCATCGGGTTCTCATCTCCAAACAAAATCACATCTCTGATACTTCCTTCAAAGCCCCCTGAAAATATTCCGGAGGTGACAACTGATACATTTCTGTTTAATTCAAACCCACCAAAGTAAGTCACGCCCCCAGAGTTTAAGGCTATGTATCGCTCAAATGGGTCCAAATCTTTAAACAAGATTTCCTCCCTGTTAAGGAAAACCTGAATAACCGTTCGGTTGAGATTTAGAGACACATTATTCCATTTCCTGCAGCAGAGAGTGAGATTTTTTAACGTAATTGGGAGAGCAAGTCTTTCTCCAAGATTAACTGCAATCTTTAGATTGCCTTCCTCCAGCCCAACTGCAAGGTAGTCATTGTCTTCCTGCTCGGCCGTCCCCATCCACAAAATTAAACCGTCACTAGAGCTGGCATAGAAGGTAAAAGAAAGCTGTACGTACTTTAAGTTTCTTTTGTTGAATCTTTGATCGATGTGTTTAATGTATGAGTTTCCTACAAACCTCAATGTGTCTGTGGACATTTTAGTGTCACAGTATCTCCCCACCCAACCGAAGGGACATATGCAGCTGTAGGAGGTTGCAGTAGATGGAACGCATATCGAGCCATGTCCGCAGCTGTTGTTTATACAGCTTACAGACTGGTTACACAGGGATCCACTCCATAATGATGGACACACACATAAGAATGAGTCAGCCCCTATAGCTCTGCATTGACCTCCGTTATGACACACTTTGTACCCACAGGCTGTCCCATCCAAGTCCCTGATGTTTTTCCCACCAAGGGCTCCTGTCTCTGTTAGCTCCAGTTGTTTGCCATTGATTTTAAGTTCTCTCAACCCACCAGTAAAGCTCATTGGTTCCTGTTCAGTCGCTTCAGGGGAAACGAAGCTCAAAGTGGACACGCCTCCAACAAAGATGTCAGTGGCAACATCTAATGTGGTCATCCCTTTAGTCCTGTTCTCTCTGATCTCCTCACTGTCCAGGCTGAGGAAGCCCTGATGACCAGTACGGCCAGCCTTTACCACATGCCAGGTCCTGCCATGTAGGTCCACTGTCTGCATTGACTGGAGAATGTGTATGCCATCACCAAGATTATATCTCAACTGGACAAACCCAGCAGTTAAGGAGATACAGAAGAAATCTCCTGTGGGGGAAAAAAAAATAAAACAGTCTCATGAATAATAGTTTGAAAAGTATTTTATTATAATTAGTGTAGAGATAAAAGGAAGCAGTACTGATTCTGGCTCCTACACCAAATATAATTTTTAATATCAACCAAAGATGTAGATGTTAATATCACCTGCTTTAGCACCAAGATGCTGTGCAGTGTAGACAATGATGCCATCAGGTGACAAAGGTAGGAACTGCAGCTCTACAACAATCCTGTGCCTAATACTCATAGGAGGGAATGACATCCATGAACCCTGGTTAGCACTGAAGAATGGATCAGTGATGGTCACAGCTAAATGGAAAAGACAATGCAGATGTTAAATGAAATAATAAAAAATAAAAACACAAAGGATATTTTATTTTATTACTTAAAAAGGAGATACCGAGACTTAAAAAAGATGCCTTATTCTTTTAAAATGATGTAGCATTACATCTACAAAGTACAAACTTTCATGTGACTATTACGAGATAAGCAAATACAACATACTGCTAAATTATGAAGTAAAAGAAGAGGAAACACAATTTTAAAACTTTGTCTTGCAAATTAAGATATAAAATTCTGGCTTGCAGTGAATTAATCTACCTAATTTATTACTTCATAGAATCTAATTTCAACTACTTAGTCATTAGGGGCATGTCCCTACCAGTGTTGCACCCATTCAATATAAAATATTGTCCATTTTTTTTTTTTTTGCATTGTATAATAATGTGCCTTACTTTCTGTATCCTTCAGAAAAGCACTCTGATGTCACCACCATGTTTGAGTTGTGTGTCCAGGGTGATGTGCAGTAGGCTGAAGGTTAAGTGTTGCTTTAACCTCACTATAGAATGTCTTTCCTCATGTCTGCTATTTCCTCAACATTACTGTAAATTGAAAATGTGTGGATCATAGGACTAATAGCTGTGGAGTTGACAGATTCTCCCATCTGAACATTGGATCTGTTAGTATGATCTAATTAAATTCACTCTGTAAAGTGCCTTTTCACACGTGTTGTTAACTGGTTCCATATAAATAAAAGTGATTTGATCTCTGCAGCTGTTCCAGATATAGAAGCGTTTTTGCTTTTTCTCTGATTGATGCTGACATTGTAAAGACTTAACAATTAGGTTGAAAGCCAGGTCTTTTTTTTTCCTGACAGGTAAAGATGGAAACATATCTTAGTACATGACTTCTGAGGAAATTGATTGCACTGAATTTTACTCCGGGGTATTAGAGTGAAGGGGTCTGAATAAAAATGTATATGGCAATTTGTGCTTTGTGCATTTAAAAAAAAATGATGCACTATGCACAAATTTTTCTTGAGTTAGCCTTAAAAAATATAAATGAAATACATGGGGTTTTCTTATTTGTTGCAGTGTAAAAAAGGGTAAAAATACAATGCCTATAAATAATGTTGTAAGAGAAAAAAAAAAAAAAAGGATGGATTGGTTCCGTGTTGCAACCTGTCTCGCAGTGGCTTCCTGCAGTTCCCAAGGGGCACTGGCAGGTATATCCATTTGGCAGAGGGATGCAGGTGGAGCCATGGGCACAAAGAGGAGGGGGGGTATGTTCAGGATCACACACAGACACGGTTTCCGTACAGAGGGCTCCTTTCCATCCAGGCTGGCACTGGCAGCTGTACATGGGAACAGTCAAACACATTGTAATGCCTGTATACTGTCATTCTCTTTATACACAGTCATGTTCTTTTTTTGAAATGCTTTGCTTTCCATTTTTAGTTCAATGTATTCTTTAGGTAATATACATTTAGACAAAAAAATAAATAAAAAATGAAAATCAAAGGGTAATCTAATAATTTTTCCAATGCCTGTACATGCTTTGTAACCAGAGAGTCTGGTGCCTAGATGAGTTCAGGGTTTCACTATATTTATAATAAGTATCTGCGAACACAGCATGTTCCTACCAGCTGGAAAGTTGCTGTTTTCGTTCCTGTCACTATATTCAATTGTTCCAAAACGGTTTGTGACTTTAGACCAGAAGTTTTGATGAAAATTTCCGAAAGGTTTATTGGAGGATTTAAAGTAGACTGGACATTTTTTTTTTTAGATCCCATCGATATATAGGGCTTACAGAAAGGTAGAAGATGCAGTCTTTTCTAGCTATACCTGCTTTTTAAAACCCTGGGCCCGTATCACAAAGATCCTCAAAGTTCTCACAGTGAGCTCATAGATTCCTGTCAAGAACGCCTCGCTTAACACTGATTCAGATAGTTGCTGAAAGCAATTCTAATCAAGTGAGAGAGTGTGTTTGACCCTTTCTATGTGTTGCACTGTTAATAGGAGTTGTGTCTTATAGATATCATATATATAAAAAAAATCAACAAAGGTGAGCTCCATTTAAACAATGGAAATAAATAAAAATCAAATACAGAATTGATGCATGGATTAAGAAATTCAATTGTCTTTGAAAAAAAAAGCTGATTGGTCAGTCACTTAATTTGGATGGGAACTGATTTCAGATAATAAAGTAAACAATCTTGGTGTTATTTTGGATCAGGACCTGTCATTTCAATCCAATATCATAGAAGTTCTAGAATGTCCTCCTTTAATTTCTGGAATATTGCAAAAATTAGAAACATCCTGTCCAGGGTTGATGCTGAGAAACTAGTTCATGCATTTGTTACTTCAAGGCTGGACTATTGTAATTCTTTACTACCAGGAAGTCCACAAACTGTAGTTAAAAGCCTTCAGCTGAGACAGGATATTTCTCCCATCCAAGCTTCTCTTCATTAGAATTAGAATAGATTTTAATTTGAAATGTCAGACTTTCATTTGTAGATGTTTCCTTAGCTTTTAACACAATCCAAACTTTTATTTAATTAAGATGCTACTTTAACAGTTTGTGACAATCTGCAGGGGTGGAGTTTTGGTTCTTCAAGTATTATGGTACAGAGTAAGAGTAAGAATGAATACATGCCTCGCAGATTTTAAACATACTTCTACTGGGTTACCTCAAGGCTGTGTATTGTCTACTTGTAATTCTATACATAACGATGTGTCAAAGGAGACATGAAAACAGGTTCATCATAAAGAATGCAGATGACTGACTGTGAATGCAAAAAAAAGGCTCATCTGCTCTTTTTCTGCTTCTTTGATTTCTGCTATTTTGACGCCACAAAACTATAATGCCTATGTTTTAATGTGCTTTAATGTAATAGGTTTGAGCTTTATAGTTGGTGTTATGGATTGGACATACAACCTAAATGGACAGGGTTTTTCATTTCAGTAGATTCAGTTAAATTGTCTTCTAGACTGACAGGAAAGGGCAAACAATCAGTTAGATCCCAGCAGAGTGAATGCCTCCTTCTGTTTTAAAAGATGACTGTCATTCCTTTTACAGTAAGTCGCAGATTCTTCCCTCCAGATGGAGGTGTTTAGCCCTAAATATGGAGAACGATGTTTTAATAAAAGTTCTTGTTGCTGTTATTGAAATGAACAAGCCAAACCACTGCCAAGTCTTGAACCACTACAGAACTAATCCACCAAAAGGTATAATTATAATAAACTCAAACCTTAAAGCTACAGTGTGTAACCTTTAGCGACATCTAGCGGTCAGACTGCAGACTGCAGCAACATGAACATCTCCCCGCCACCGCTTCTCCCCCCCAACAGTATGGCGAGCGTTACGGGACAAAATGTCTTCCACGACGTCCGTATCACCTACCTTCTCAAGTGATGAGGTTTGTTTACATAGATAATTTTACAGATAGTATTTCATTAGTCTGTGTAGGGTATAGATTTCATGTAGACTTAAGATAATAAATATACCCGTTATTTTTTCTACATCGTTGTGACGTTTTGGCGATCTCGCAATCGCTAGTTTGTTGGCTCTGCGCTGCCGTAGCGCAAAGATGTCTGCCTCCATGGCTGCGAGACCCGCTCCTATGTAGTTATAAATAACCAATTCTAAGGCAACGCAAATATTAAGGTTAAGAGGCTGAGCTCGTAGATGATGATAAATAACATAATTACGTATAATATATTACATTTCTGACTGTATATCCCTTTAATTATTACACACTGTAGCTTTAATTAGAAAGTGGAGTCATTGAAAAATATAAAGCAAATTAATCCCAAACTGACTTACTAAACTGATGAACCAGAATCCACACACATCCCTTCATTCCTGCAGTGTACATGAGCACAGGGGGTGACTCCACATTGACCAACACTGCGCCCGAAGGCTGGGTGCCCTGCAGGTTGCCCCAACACTTGAAACTTCCCATCTCTCCTGGTCCGAAACTGAACATCGAAAATGCAGCCTGTGAGAGAAGTCAACAAAAATGTCAGAGGCATATTTTCATCTATCTATCTATCTATCTATCTATCTATCTATCTATCTATCTATCTATCTATCTATCTATCTATCTATCTATCTATCTATCTATCTATCTATCTATCTATCTATCTATCTATCTATCTATCTATCTATCTATCTATCTATCTATCTATCTATCTATCTATCTATCTATCTATCTATCTATCTATCTATCTATCTATCTATCTATCTATCCATCCAAATGTGGGAGTATATTTTCTTTTCTTACACATTTAAAGATATGTCACAAGCTTTGATCCATCCAGTTAAATAAGGGGTCAACTTTTAAATTTAATTCTTCACAAAAGGGACCTACTCCAACTGTTATCAAGCCTCTCCATCACAACATTGCTTTCTGTTATTATAATTCAATTTTACCACGGAAATATTTGCTTTGGCCTGCACCTCTAGCGCTCAGAGCCTTCTATAAATAAAAAGGGCCAAACTCGACCCTTACAGTCATCTGCCCATGCAGACTCTACTCTCAGCTGCATTAGTCATTGGCATAAAAAGGATGCAGGGGAAATGTCATGCCCAACCATGAATATTCATGGCATGATGCTGTCTACTTGGCGGATTCTAGTAGTTGTCATGCAAACACACACAGCCCTAAAAAGCAAAATTCATGAGGAAGATTGGAAAAGATGGTGTGCTTTGATTAGGCAGTGTGCACATCAGTTCATTCAGGGGAACCAGTAAACTTGAGGAGTTAGTAAGTGTAACACAGCCTGTTTGTAAAGCCTTAACATAATTTGAATTTTGTTGCATTACATATACAGATGTATACTACACTTTTGCCAAAATTACTTTGTAACTTATAAAGTGTTATCTGATTGACCAAAAGAAATTAGCACATATTGGTCTGAAGTAGAAGGTAAATTATAAATGGTTTAAAAATATTTATAAATAAACATCTGAACATTTTGGCATGAATATTGCTTGACTTAGTATTCTGTCCTTTGAAACCTTGAGAAAAACTGTACAACCAAGCATGCATTACTTTCCTCCTACTTCCTAACTATACACAACTTAAATGCTGTTCAGACCATCCTTGCTTTTTCAGTTTTACTTTTCCATTTTGTTGCTCTCAAGGCATATCAAGATACAAAAAAAATAAAAAGGTAATTTAACAATTTCTTGAAGGAAAATATAGCAAAATGTGTTTTTATAATGTCACAAAATGTAAGTATTTTCCAGAGGTATGAAGACTTTTGAAAACCATTGTATTTTAACTCATGCAAAGCACTTTGAATTGTCTTTGTACTGAATTGTGGTGAATTGGCCTTGCCTTTAAGTAAAAAAATGAAAATCTACTTATTTTCTGTTTTTATACACTTCTTTCTCTCTTTTTTTATTTCATTAAATCAAACTAAGGGACTTTTTATGCCCTGCTGTAGCAGTCAGACAGCATCCTCATTCACTTTTCCACCAGGGGAGTGTGGATCTGTTGATAACTGGGACTGAAGTGCATTATCAGTGTGTTCAGTGCCAGCCATCATGATTAGGGCTCCAGGAAGGTCACACAGATCTGATTAGACGCTCATGAGTTCTCATTACATCCTGAGTAGAAAGGTTACGGTTCCACCGGTGTGGCCCTGTTCAGGTAGTGCTCTCCAGCAGGCGATAGTGACACAGTTAATGCAGCAGGAAAGGAGCAATGTTTTAGTTTGGCTGATTTTATTTCTGCAGCTTTATCTAGAAAATGTTGAAAACACTTCTAGATTATAAAGGAAAATACATTTAGGGGAATTTAGTCCCGTATGAATAAAAAGCTTTTGTTCCACTCAGATGTTACTTTTTATATAGCAAGCTTCATTGCTATGGTGCAGAGATTGCCAAATATGGTTATAGTGGTATTCATAGCAGCTGTCATCATTACACTTGTGGCAATTTTTGCAGTAGAGCTCTGCACATTAGCAGGCACAATGAATATCCTCCAAAATCATTTCTCACACAGGGTCACTAGGGAATGAGCCTAAATGACGTTGGTGTTGACAAAAGATTATTTGGATAGTGCTCTTGTTCAAGTGACTTATCAGCAGTGGAATGAATTTAACCACAACACACTGTACGGGGTGTGAAGCAATTACAGAGTGCAGATACAATCAACCTCAGAGCTCTGTTCTGGCCTGTAATTCCCTTTTCATTACAGACCTTCCCTCTGCTTGCACAAAGACAGAGATCCTGGGAGAAAGTCCAAACCCCTGCACTCCCTCTGCAGATAGCCGTTTTGGGCTGTAATAAAGCCATTGAAGTCTTACCTTGAAAGCCTTGACGGAATCTGGAGCCAAGTGGCAGCAGTTCAGGGGTGAACTCATTATATCCACCTACAAAGAGCTGGTTGAAAACATTGAGGCCCACCAAAGGTCCAGGAGAATATCCTGTTCTGTTCCGCTGCCCATCAACCTGAGGAAGACATGTAGTAAGACATCAATATTCAAGCTGGAGTCTTGCATCTGTAGGCGTCAGGAGTGGGAGGACAATTTCACAATCTGCTGAACCTGACGAAATGTGCGATCACAGATTTATCGCTGAGTTATTCAGTCTATGTCCACTTAATAGCTGCCCTCCCAGGTTTTTGCTTCTAAACAGGCTTTTATAGGCCACTGAGTCACCAGGGATCTAAAACCTAGTTAAAAAAAAACAAAAAAAACACATTGCCTGCAGAATTTCCATCTGAATTCAGATGATGCAAACATCCTGTTTTACCTGGCTAAAGAAGTAAATGGACTTCTAAGAAGAAAAAGAATGCTTTACATGAAAACACAGAGCATTAATCTTAATCATTTTAAGTGTGAGAATATTTTCTTTAAGAAAGGAAAATATTTTCACACTAAAAATGATTTAGATGCTAAACTTAAAGTATGATGAAAATCATGTTTTAAGTTTAGGAAAGGGTGGTAGATGTTTTAATGAGAGGTTGTGTGTGTCTCCCTGTATGCAGGATAATTTGAAAAGTTATGGACAGATTTTTATAAGATATGTCCCTCTTACCAAGGAACAATCTCTCACATTGATCCAGATCATAATCTGGATACAGGATTTTTCTTTTTTTTTTTTTTAAGATTCTCTAACATCGGGAGATCGGGGGATTTGATGGAACAAGCAATTCCCCACTAAACCAGACGTTGGCAGCAGTGACTATGACAGCATCAGCATAGGACTAAAAAAGTCTGGAGGTATTTTACTAAAGACAAAAACACGAGAAAAGGGAACAAGTGCTAATCTAGTTATATATGTTTTATATTTGGCTGCAGATGGCAATTAGCCATGCAGTGGAATCCATTTATTTGGGCTTTCTTGATAACTAAACACACAATACCCAAAACCTTACAGATTACAATGACAATCCCTCTTCAGTGTGAAAGTTGTAATTGAGAAAAGAAGACTTCGTTTTTCTGCCTTTGCTTCATTCAGACTGGGAAGGAAATATTCTATTTTCTTCTTTATCCTGACATTACTTTATGAATAACTTTTCTTTAGTGAAACTAAATCTCACTCCAAATTAAACAAAGGAAACAGATTTAACAAGAACAGCATAAAGCATTAAATAACCTTCAGCCAGCCTGTTCTTTTGAATCTTCCAAAAGTAACACTGTGGATAGTGGTCTCGTTGTTGAGTCGATCACTGACTAAGGTTGCTATTCCTGATCCAAGGTTAAACCTGTGGACAATTCTTCCACTTCGTAGTCCTAAAACGAGGAAGTCATCACCATCGCTGCCTGAAAATACATGGAAACAGAGGCTATTAGTACTGACCAAAAATATAAACTAACTTAAAATGTCAAAAAAAAAAAAAAGAATTTTTAGCATTTACGGAAATAGGAAATAATCTGCTGTTTGACACAACTAACAGTGATGGTAAAAATAAACTGCAAGTCATAAACCTTGATCTTTATTTAGCCTTGTTTGTCACGGTTCCAATGGTTCTAAATGTAAAACAGTGCATGTGGGGCAATTTAGTTTCATCTCAGTTTTCTTGTAGCCATTTTCAGAGTTGGAAACACTGTCATCATATATATATATATATATATATATATATTACATTTATTACAATTACATTTATTTTATAAAAATTGTTGGGGCTCTGGTGATTTAACTAGAATAACCATTTCTTAATTCTGTTAATGTTCTTGATGTACTCACATGAAATCATAGATTTTTATCTAAGGATGCGTTTTACTTAAGCACACATCAAATAATATGTGCTACGACATTTCCTGATGAGGCTCACAATAGATGCCGCTTCATTAAGCAGTTATTTTGGTGAAATAATCACATTAAATCTATTCTTATGTTGAGCCTTCGTTCTAGGCAGTTGCATCACACTCTCACGAGTGTTTCATTATCTGAGCTGTTCTTCTGTTGTTTTGCCTCCACCTTGATGGACTGATCTCTCATGAGAAAACAAGTGTAGAGATCTGTTTTTTAATTCCTCTTTTCATTTAAGATGAAATATGCTGCTGACAATGGCACAGCAGCTACGAGCAACCAAATCTGACCCCACTGTGGAGAAAAACTAATTTAACGTGAAAGCTGCCAACAGCATCTCACCTCAAAGCGTGTCGGACTTTATTAACATTAAAACTTCCAGGTTGATTTGTTCACATGTTCATTTTATTCAAGTGACGCTAACTTTCCCCACGCATGTCAGAAACAATAAAACACCAGCTGGAAATCATAGAATTGTTGGACTGTGAAAAAGATCATCAATGTTGTTTCAGAGTCTATCAGGAAAAAAAGCCCTCAGGGAAGTCTCTTTGATTAGAGCATTTCAGACGAGGGTAAAAATCCCTTATTTACACTGCAAAAAATATAAATCTCAATAAGTTATTTTTTCTTAAAATAAGTGTGTTTTTCCTTGATTTGAGTAGGTAAGTAAGACACTTTGCCAATGGAACAAGACAATTTCCTTTTAAAATAAGAAAAAACTATTTTATCGTCTTATTTCAAGTAAATATTATCTAACTATCTTATTTTAAGAGTGAAAATACTCATTCCATTGGCAAATCATCTTATTTACCTGCTCAAATTAAGGCTAAATATACTTAATTTAAGCCATTTTTTACTTATTTCTGGATTGTTTTTGCAGTGTAGTATATTACCATGCACAGCATTTGACAAAAATGGCTCTAACAGTTCGCACAAAACCCTCAATTTAGCTAGAGGACTCAAAAGGCATCATTCCTCTATCTTTTTCTATCTTCACCTGCTGCTATGAAACCTTTTAATAATCTCTGTGGGTGTCAGGGTTCAGCTCACCTTGTCCTTTCTGTCCAGCAAACAGGATCAGGTTGTCTCTGACAGCAGATGAATTATTTGCAAGCGTGAACCTCAGCTTGAACTCATAGAAGAAGGTGAGTCTTGGGATGGAAGTGAAGGCCACAAAAGATGTGTAGCCAAACTCATCAGTTCCACTGAATCTGGCACGAGTTACATTTATGGCTGAGAAGAAAAGAGACAGAGAGAAAATAAGCAACAAATCTCAGCAGCTGCTGTGAGGTTTTCTCTGTTGGAGTAGTAAATTCAGATCTGATTCATTGGCTGCATCATGGTTCACCAAAAGATGGCACTATTGCCCCATGTTATAGACCCTAGTTTGAAGAACATGAATTTTCTTTTCTGATGCTATTAGATGATGACCTGTTTTCAAACACTTCCACCTCCTCACTCCTATTCTATTTTCATCAGTGGCTATTTAGGAGGGATTCTGGCATTCAGGCTTTATTTTATACGCAGTGTTCACTAGGGTAGCACAATAATCCAGATGATATTCAATTACAATCTCCAGTTTACACACTCTGAATTCATGCTTGATTCAATAATGCTTCCCACTGCAATTCATCTGAACACACCCATCTATTTGATTTAACACATGGGACTAAGTGTAAAGTTGCTCACGCTCAATCAAAATTACACTGTGCCATGTTTTATTATTTTTTTTTCTTTTTCATCAGTTTTCTTTACAGAGACAAGGAACCCAGAACAGATAAAAAGGCTCATCTTTTCTGTGCGGAAGCTCCTTGCGTGTTCTTCTGCAGCCTCAGGCAACGGCTAAGAGTGCTTCAGAGCACCCCTCTGCGACTGCCCTCAGCTCAGTTTGGCTCCTAAATTATTAATAAAGCTGCAAAAGCTCTAGTTATTGTCTGCTAGATCAGTTTGCCTCAGTGAATTGTCATTGCGTTTCTTTATCTCCATACATGGCTGTGCTTAATTAGATCATACAGATGCTGATGGATATCTCTCCCATTAAGTTCCTTGCACTCATGAGTCAAGACTAGTAACACATTAACACTTTAAATGCAGCTAAACAAACGGTGTTTTCTCAATGTTTCACAGGCTAATAAGAATTTCTAATCAAACTTGATTTGTTTTAAAATTTACGATGACAGGATTTGAGGTTTATTTTTTTTTTTCCCGTGTAAAATGACTGACGTGTAGCAGATTGCTTTTGCAAAGAAAACAAGAAGCAAAAAGCCTCTAAACTGCAGTTAATTTATTATTATTTTTTTCTCATTAAAGCAAGCTTCAGAAAAGGTGGATCCCCCCCCCCCCCCCCCGCCCCCCCCCCCCTTTTTTTTTTTTTTACAATTTCATCCTCTCCTTTAGATGCATTGAAGGACAAAAAGATTTCATATGTGTAATTTTTTAAATCTTCTGGAGCCTCTTTTGTGCATTCTTTTGTGAAAGCAATGTATATACATTTTTGCTTCCCTCTGCCTCTCCTTAGGTAAAGCAAAACCGCAACATGATGCTGCCACTACCACATTATTTAATGGAATGGATGGTCTGTTCAAGCTGTTAGTTTTTTATTTATTTTTATCTCTACAAAATTAGCATTTTGCATGTAGGCTTATAAGTAGATCTTTGTCTTAGCAGAGCAGACAAATGGCAAAGAGGATTATGTGTGGGCGTCTTTCTCCGTTTCCACAGTTGCCCCAGTATTTCATAAAGGACAGATTTGTGGAGAAAGAAACTAATATTTGCATCATCAACAGATTTTCCTACCCGAACCATTGCATCTCTGCAGCTTCTGATGAACCATGGTCCGTGCATGCTTGTTAGTTTAGGTGGATAGATACATCTTGATAGATCTATAGCTGTGCAATGCTTTCTATTTCCAGATGAAGGGCTGATAGTGCTCTGATAGGCAAATGTATGCCTGATTTGACTCTTATGTTGCTTGGCCTTCATGATGCTGCTTGTTCATTTTCTTCCACAGAATAGTTGAATATATAAAATATATTGAGATTAAACAACACTTGACTGGACTGTGCTTATTAAATATGAGGGAATCATAATTGGATTCTATTAAGCAGTATCAGAGTGAAGCAGGTGTAATAGGCAGCAATGTTTTCCGTGTGAAACAATAAAATAAAACATTTTTCTCCCTTTAATTCACAATCTATTACATAAAATCACCAGATAATACATTATTTTAAAACCCAAACCTTGTGTTAAAGGAGCTTCAAAATGCACCACAAAGTGCCCCAGTCTTTGCACCACAGAAGAAAAATGCATCTTTCTGTGGATTGTAATGCTTCATCCAGTCAGACTGGATTAAATATTATTTCCACTTTGCCGTGTATTTGTGTAATACGGTGAAAACTGGCAGAAGCTGCAGAAATAAAACAGAGTGACATACAGCACAAGGCACTGAAATGTCTTTTGACATAAAGCTGCTTCCACACAATGTGCATCTGTTTCTCAGCCACAGAGATGCTCCAACTATGCATCACTTCTCATACATAAAACACATTTTTTTTTATTGTAAAAGGTTAAAAACACACTAAATCAATACTAATCTGTTTTGCTGATGCTTCTATAACTTTAGCCAAACTGGAGCATTTGTTAATGGACTGTGTAAAATAAACAAGTTTAGCCAAGCATGGGCAGAATACATAATTTGTTGATCTACGAGGTAAAAGAGGTGAAACACTGCAACCCCCTGCAGCAAAATTCCAATAACATATTAGCATTGCTCAATTCTGATGCACAGCAGTTGTATTTTTAATGTTGTGGATGTGATTCAGAACATGGCAGACAGGAACTGACCTAAACTCCTTCCAAGGAAAATGTAATAATTCAGTATTATGAGCTTCTAATAACTCCTGGGGTGATAAATCCCTTTTGTGGCAACAACAAGCACACATAAACCTTTTAAAGTTACTGATGAAGTCTGAAAAATAAAGCTTTCAAAAGGCTATAAATATGGTTATCAAAATTTGATAAAATGCTCTGGCCACAAATTCTCTGCGCTTTGAATTATCATTACGAAAAAGCAGTTGAAGTAAAATGGAAAATATGAAAAGATCTGTAAAAGTGAACATTCAGACAAACATGAAAATCAAGCCAACAAACTGAAATGAAAATCTCCTGTATACATAATAATCATTCAAAATTATTATCCAGCTTTCTTTAATTTTGCAATGGCTGTAGGAACTTTGCATGCATAAATAAATAAAAAACAGCCACGCATTTTTTTAATGATCATTGACTTTTAGCTATAACGGACAAGGCTTTAATACTTTACAGACTCGTCCCTGAGTTTCTGCTTTTGGTAGAATCCAAATTGTCAAAATAAATAAATGGATCAAACAAGACAAGAAAATATATATTTTTGTGACACAACTTTATTGTATGTTTACTTTTCTCTGACAGCTATCTGCTTTGTTTTTTTGACTCTGTGGGGATCTATGTGTATGTCATGACAAACCCCTTTTATACTTGAAATAATTTTTGCTGTTTTTTCCATAGCATCAATTTCTCCTTAGTAGAAAGATTTAAAATTAAAGAAGGATTTTTTGGGGCTTTTATTTTGTAATATTCGATTCCACGCCTTGCAAAATAATTAACTTCCCTTAAACGTCACTTTATTGCAATGTCTAGTGTATCATAAAGGGATTGTATGTAATAGAACAACATAAATAAATAGATAAGCATCCCCACAAGACAGTAACTTTGCCTGCAAGCTAAATTCTAGCAGTTTTTTTTAGCCTAAAGACACTTGAGTATCCATCTTGTATAGCTTAATTTGAAAGTAGCTGAGTATAATCCAAAACAGGTCAGCCAATCAAATTGCAATATTATGACATATATATGTCATAGTATTATGAAAGCAAGAATTGTTGATCCCACAGCTGAACCAAAGTAAAAATGGTTACAGAGGAGTAGCTACATACATGTAGCTGCTGCTGGTCAGAATCTACTATTTCATCTTTAAAAGTCAAACAGAAAGATTGTAAAAGCACAAGTTATAATGGTTTTTCATGGCATCTTCTGCTGTTTCATTTCCTACTTTGGTTGGCCAAAAAAACTTTGCTAGGTACCAAGTTTTGCTTTGCCCAGTCAGCATGAAAGAGGTGGTAAATGGTAAATGGCATGTACTTATATAGCGCCTTTATTCAAGTTAGGAGACTTGACCAAAGCGCTTTACACTACATTCATTCACGCACACACTCACACACTGATGGTGGCAAGCTACATTGTAGCCACAGCTGCCCTGGGGCTCACTGACAGAAGCGAGGCTGCCGTACACTGGCGCCACCGGGCCCTCTGACCACCATCAGTAGACAATGCAGGTGAAGTGTCTTGCCCAAGGACACAACGACAATGAAAGTCGGAAGCTGCTGAAAGGCCCTCTTTTCAATTGAAGCAGTCCCAAATAAATAAAGTGTAGACCTAAATTGAATTCTGCACATTATTCATCTGGTGTGCCAGGTTAAAGGTATAGTGGAGGATTTTGCTAATTTTTGAAAAGACCCGCCCTCTCCACTTAAAAAGAAAAGCAGATGCACAACCCTGTACCCGCTCCTGAGAGGGGACCCCTAATAAACACGTGTGAGTGCATGCACAAGCCCATTTCTCCTCATTTCTCCACGCTCCGTTTAAAAGTTGCTGTTTGCGTTGCTCACACAAGCTGACTTTCCAAAAGAAGATTTGCAAGTTTTCCACTATGTCAGACTCACCTGTAAGATAGTTACTTGAGGAATAGCACGTAGGAAGGGCTTACGTAAACTTATCACAAGAATGATTGACAATTAGAAATAGGAAAAAAAAGAAATTAAACTTAATGGATCTCACAATGGAGAAATTAACTCTCTGCATTTAACCCATTCACTTGGGGAGCAGTGGTCTGCCACTGTGCAGCAACCGGGGAATGTGAGGCTAAGGGTCTTGCTCAGGGACCCAGAGTGCTGGCTATGGGGATCAAACCAGGTACTTGCAATCTTCTCAGAGCACAAGCGCACTGCTCTAACCCACAGGGCCAAAACTCCCCACTAGTAGGACCCTCCAGCTTGGAGTACCACTTATTTTGATTCCAGCCGGAAAAAGAATATCCTCCACTATACCTTTAACAGGTTATTGCAGTATGGACAGTTGTTCAAGAGGGAACTGTGTCATCAGAATAATCTTTGGCATTAGTGTTTTTACTAAGAATTTGCATGCAGGGCAAAAGGCTTGAGTTTATCTATAGAACATACTTTCTTCTTGCCTGCTCTGTTCCATTCATCACTTATGTCCGACTGAGAACTGGACATTATGGAGGTAGGATATGAAGAGTGAATAACTAGTAATTACCTTGTTGACTGATGCTGACACCTGAGAAGGGGCTCTCTGCAGATCCTCCAAAGTTGCAAAGACCTCCTGGCTGCTTGTATATTCAAATACTTTCTTATAAAGTACTAATAGTGCTAGTAATTCTGGTACTAAACACTGTCAAATGTTTTATAATAACCTTCTTTGAGCCATTCTCCCATCTATTTTTTCTCTTCTAATTTTTCTTTTCCTGATTGTATATAGTACCAAATTTAATTTTTAATTAATGATTTCATTAAGGAAATAAAAATAAAACTGCTTCATTAAAAAAGAAATACTTTTTCATGTGTGTTGCAGATTAAACATGTAAGCTTTCTTTGGAATGAGAGAGTAGAAAAAAAGACGCCAGGCACCCATGTAATAACTGATGCTATTTTGCAAAGGCGTCACACGAGAAGAAGTAGTGCAAAGTTTCAAGAACAGAAAAAGACCCAGGGGGGCACGAGAGGGAGTGATCACTTTTTGACTTTGATCTAATCTGATGTTTCAGGATTAAAATCCAAATGTCAACCATGTATTTTTTGTGAAAATAGAAGGTTAGGTTTCTGTGTTTGGCAAATGGGTGCTGAGATCCTGACGGGGGCTGGGGCATGGCTGAGCAACTTATATGCCAAGCACCCCGCTGTTGCTACAGTCAGTCTAGTCAAGCAAAGCCTTTTGTTTCAGTGTGTCACGACCTGTGAAACCCACAGCTTTTTATGCCACTGATTCTAGGTCGGGGGCTGGGGGGTAAAATGGCACATGAAGTATGAAAGAGTAAAAAGTGAACATGGTTATTTATTAGCCAATAAACCCTGGCACGATAATACTGCAGGACACCTTAAGAATTATGTTTCCAAGCTCTACATATTTTGAATCAGCCATACACAAGCACATACACACAAAAAAAGTCTTACACTGGAGATGCAGTTACAGAAAATAGATAGAAAAAACTTTAAATAGGCTTTTAAAATATTCACTATAGCAGCCATGAGTTTGACTCCTCTGCTGGAGGAGGCATTTCTGCCTTTTCAGCAGATTTCAGTTTCATTAATGCGTTTTATTCAACAACAGACTCTGATTATACCAACTGCTAAAGGCTTTCATCCACCAACTGTCTGCAGACCCAACTCTTAATGAATTAGTATCTGCTCTAACCACTCTGCACTGAGAAAACCTATTCCATGTTTATCACCTACTTTGGTCGCAGAGTAACCCCTGTCGTCCAAAGGGGCAAAGACAAACCACCTCCAACTGCGACTTAGGAATGCATGTGGCTCCATGGCGACAGGGTCCACGCTCGCAGGCGGAGAGCTGGCACAGCCGGCCTGTGTAAAGTGGAGGGCACTCGCAGAACCAGTCCTCTGCATCACTGTTGAATGCAGAGAAACAGGGGTTAAGCATGTGTTTTTCACTTTGCCAAACAGAAAAAAGAGAGAAAATGAAGAAAAACCTGATCTGAGTTGATGGGGAAAATAAATGTGTCCATCCAAAGGGAACAGAAGTAAAGTCTAGTAATAGTGGTGGAGAAAAATACAAATCCTGTATAACTTTCTCAATTTTAGTAGTTATAGCATAAACAGGCTGTTTTAGATGTCTTTTCAGATAGGTAAAAATATGCACCCTGAATTATAACAGTAGGAAACAGGTCGTTAGCAGTATGTCAGCCAAAGGAATACCAAGAATTTATATAATAGTTTGTGTGTTCCTTGTTCTGCTATTTTCTCTCCCCTTGTACTTTCTCCCTTAGCAAGAACAGAAGGATGATCTAGCATCTGAAGTGATATCCAGACGGGGAACTTTATAAAGTGCTCTTAAGATGTGCACAACTCTAAAAAAGGTATAAGATAAGACAGTGCAAGCATTGGTAGGGTTTCAGACCTATAAATTAATGATGCGTTTTGAGCAGCAGCACTGCAGGATTTATTTTGCTCCTTCAGAAAATTGCTTCTATGAATGAAGTATTTACATTCTGCCTTCAAAGTTGAGCATTGTTCGAAAACACTGTGGCCTACTGAGAAGTTTCTTTACAACACAAAATATGCAATATGAATGATTTTGATGATTAACAAATTGAATTCTTTTAACTCAGTAACACAACGGAAACCAGATTCTGTTCCGTAGACTGTATAATAAGACAACTGAAGTGTTTCTATCACTTTCAAATTAAATCATCATAAAATATAAGTTTTGGTTGGGTGGAATAAAAAAAAAAATTCTACTTACTAAATGGAATAATATAGACTGAAACATTATTGCTTTTTATGTACCTGAAATGCCAAAGTGTAAACAGAAGCATGCCACTTCACTTCTCACAGCGGCTGGGATTTGTTCCATTCCTTATGTCAAATCTGGTGTAAATGTATCTTTTTTTTTTTTTTTTTTTTTTTTTACATATGCCTATTTTAGCTCTGCCAACAAATGTTCTATGTAAATGAATTTAAATCTGCTGCTCTTGAATCACTTGTAACTAATTTTGAGGTAAAGTGAGGTTCATTTCAAACTTGGAAGACCAATTTATGCTGAACCCTTACTGTACCTTCATGGCTGATGTCTATTGATGTTCCTTTATTGTTTCCACATAATAATCTCTCCTCATGATGCCTCAGATTTTATGAAATGCATCAATCCTTCCAACAGGGGAACACCCACACAACATAATGCTGCCAATACATGCTGCCATTACTCTCAGACTCACAGGCTTCTGCCTTTTTTCTTTCAGACATAAAAATGTTAATAAAGAAGTTTTGGTTTCATTGGATCAAACAGGACTCTAAAATTTTAGTTTTGTTCCTAAGTGCATTGGTAAAATTTAAACAGGCTTTTAAACTTTTCTTCGGACTAATGGCTTCTTCGTTTTTGAGTAGTTTTCAGTCTGTGATGGTATGGGACTGTTAATAGGGAAACCCTCTTACTGGGTTCAGCTATTTAGTTTTTTTTCAAGGTTACAAAGAAGCAAAGTGTTTGAGATGTTGTCTCTACAGATTTCCCAGAAATACAACTTACATAACTGTAAATTGATCAAACATAACAAAATCCTGTCATTAAAAAAACTTTATCTGGGCTTGTTTGATCTCAAAATAATTTTGGCGTGTAACCCTTGAATTACAAGAAAGTATTTAAAAAATAGCTTTCCAATTATTTAGGAATTTAATAGATAACCATAATGTTGGTCATTTCAGATTAAAACAGGAGATGTTAAGTCTGATAAAATGTTAGACCGTGGTAAAAAAAACTCTTTATCCTCCACAGTGTATGTAAATATCTTGTTTTGTCTGTATATGGCAGCACATCATGGTTGCCATCTGGTATGCTTTTTGTTACAGCTAGAGAAAGATGGAAAATACTAATAAGACATAACAGAAAAGGCACTTTGTTTTTGCTTTTTCTTTTTTTTTCATTTTAGAATTTGACAAATGACAAGAGGAAGTTTCTTGCTTTTAGGGCTGATAAATTGCCTTTAATGTTGTCACTTTTAATGTGACTATTACATGAGCTCTCCTCAGCAAGTTGTACAATACTTTATGCAGCTGTCAAAATAAAGTCAAGTTACTTAAAGAGGAGACTACATTAACTATATATCATGTCTGAGTCACAGGTGAACAGGTTGAAAATCTTTTTTATTTCCTACATCCATGTAGGCCGACTCTTAACCTGTCAGATATTCTTTTTAAATATACAGTGTAGGAAATGTGGACCTGGAACGGTGACAGGAAGGTCATTTTCACACATGACATGCATCTCTCAAACTAAAATAGTGCAAAGATTTTCCAGACAAGTGGCAAGTGAGAACGTGATGTCAGTTGACTTTGCACTGGTCTAGCACATATTTTCTACTGTGCCATAGATCAGAACAACTAGAGAGAAAATTCTTGGTGAACATGTTTGTAAGGCATTCATATTATACTTTACAAGACTAATCAGAATTTTTGAACATTTTGTCACTGTACAACAACAATGCATTTTATTAGGATTTTATGTGATGGGGTGACACAGGCAACCTTATGGATTATTCCCTTTTATTCTGATATAAACAAAAAACATTTGGTTTGAACAACTCCTGTCAAAAGTCACCTAACTGGCAAATAAAACAGCTTATACTTGTTTGTAATTTAATTTCAATATAAAGAAATTAACCAGTTATTCCATGTAAATGAATCAGTGAAAAGTCAAGGAGCAAAAGGCTAAAGCAGGCTTAAGATAAAAAACAAAACAAAAAAATATTTCTAAGCTTTAAACACCTAACAAGGCAAGGATCAACCAGTTATTCAAATATAGAAGGAGTATGAAACTTTTCAATCGCTTTAAATACATGGCAAAGCTACAAAAGTATGTTCCTTTCTGTAGAAGGCGTGAGACAAGTGGTGGAGGCTCACCTTCCCTTTGGATATGAAGATATGACCATAATTATACAATTGAGGAGTATGTTTATGGTCCTGACTACAGCTGAAGAGTAAAAAAAACAAAAACAAATAATTTTGCATTAGATGAAACAAACTCAAAGTCCCCAAATACTTCTAATGAAGTATATATTTTAAGAGTTAAACATGCTTATAACAAACCCTATTATTATTTTTGCAAAGTGAAGATTTTACGTACTATTAAGATGCATGTACTATTAAGATGCTCTAACTGCTAATTAGAAGTTAGAACAAAATAGAGACGTATCACAAAACACTTAGAGGCTGGAAGTTTTATTTCGTCTTTGTTTTATTATGTTTTAAATATTGTATTATTTATTTATGCCTGTAGTAGCAGTGCTATTTGCTGCTAATGAACATAGGAAATTCCCATTTAAATATGTATTATGTGTTAAGTAAATGCATGAAATAGACTTTGGTTTTTTTAATCTTGAACCTTAAAAAAGAAAAAAAAAAGCCTCTCTGTTTCCATCTGCTTCAGAATATTTTCTGTTGGACTGTCACATCAAATAACAGAAAAACAGCAAAAAAAAAAAAAAAAGCAACAGCAAACATACAAAAAGAAAAGCACACTTTTTGTGGCTGTGGACTTTTGCAAAATATTGATATCACTTTCAGTGATATCAATATAGTAACAAAAACAATTATTTATATTGAGAGATTAATTTCACATCATTATCTAATATCTGACCACTGATGTCAGATGCTCCCCTGCACATCCTCCCTGTAAAAAAAAATATTTTTTACATTTTGAAGTAAAGGGAATCATGAGAAAATAGGACTGGCATTGTAATTCTAAAGCAAAACATCAGGCAACTGTACAGAAAATGTCCTTGAGCAGCAGACAATTAGAGTCCAGAATAGAGTGCTTTCACAACAAAGTCCCCAAATATCAAAGACCTGCAACAGAAACTGGTTTAAAAAATTTAAACTGGTAGAATCAGCTGTGGTTTGTATTTTCTTGACAAAATAATAGTAGTCCTGGTATTCCAAAATTATCATTTAGGAAAATAAAATAATTTCAATTGATATATAAATATAATAAAATACTTAAATAAAAATAATTAGCTATAGGTAAAATGGATAAATGTAAAGGCTTCAAAACATTGACCTCTGTAATTAATATTAATTATGTTCCTCACATAGTGAACTGAGTGAGTCAGATAAATAACTTTTCAATAATATTCTAAGTTGATCATACAACTGACCATCCATCCATCCATCCATCCATCCATCCATCCATCCATCCATCCATCCATCCATCCATCCATCCATCCATCCATCCATCCATCCATCCATCCATCCATCCATCCATCCATCCATCCATCTTGTTTTTTTCCAGCTCAAGGTGCTCAGGAAAGAAAAACCCTTTGTGAAGATCAAATATGGCCCCATCACTCTGGCTGAAAGGCAGGGTACACCCTGGACAGCTATTGTACAACTGTAAATATTGTATATAAACCTTTTGTTGTTTCAAAAAATAATTACCATTTAGACCAATCATTGTAGGAAATGTTCAAAAAATACTTTGAATTAAAGCTGCAGAGGATAATAATTACATGGATTTTCTGAAAGAAATGTAATATAATTATACATATGTTATATATTGTCATCTAGGAACTGAAAGTCTCAATCTTTATGTTTGCATTGCCTTAGAAACGGCTATTTATAATTACGTAGGAGTGGGTTGCACATTTATGGAGACAGACATCTTGCAATATAAAATTCTTATCCTACGCAGCTTAATAAAATACTATTTATAAAATTATCTATGTAAACTAGACTTACACTGGCCATGACTGGCAACCAGCCAGTCACTATGAAGAGAACCAATTTCAAGTTCCAGTTGCTGCATGTTTGATGAGTTTTTCAATGAAAGGACACGCATCTTTCTCCTGTGCTTGGCCCATGTTTGTTTTGGTCAAAGTGCCCAAAACAGTGGGATGAATCA